CCCAGGTTCAAATATATTTTACAAGTTTCTCAAGCTGAGAACCACTGTCGTGAGACTTGGCAGTTTCTTTTATTAACTGATTATACCAAGAAATTCATTTTAAATTATGGGATAAAATTATACTAGAGAGACCAAATTTTAAAAGATATCGTTTATTTAATCGCAAAAAGATGAGCTAGCTACCTATCCTTTCACCCAAAGTTTCTGTAACTGGGGCAAGTTAAATTTCTGAGTTGTAGAGGAGATTTTAGTAATGGCTATGAACTAGATTTCAATGACCTCCCATGTTCTTAAGCAGCCAACAGAACTGAACAGAACAATTAGAAAACTGCAATAACTGACAATTATATAAGATATTGAGAATTCAAAATAATTCTGATCAAAAGTTATCAGAGGATACTAAATAAAGCCCTGAACTTGCATATAATGCCCATTGAACTAAGTCATCATTACAGAGGTTAATTCTTTGCTTGGAGCAAACTTCAGAAATGTAGAAAAAGCAATAGGAAAAACGTTTTTTAAAAAGCAGAAATCCATGTAAGCAGCTACCTTAAGGTGACCAGGAGTACCTAGTATTCTTTTCCCCTCAACATGAATCTATGTCATATATAAACAAAAATGGTTTTACCTTATAAAAATTGTAAAAAGGAGAAAAGTTTATGTTCAGAAATGTTACAAATTCTCAAAACAATAAATAAGCACATAATCAAATGAAAATTTCAAAACATATTCTTAAGATTATAGATGGTTGTATCTCCTGCACTAGTAAGACACACACAGAGAGAGAAGATGGAGAGAATTTACTGCTCTTCAAATTCCTTCTTTCATATAATGATCAGGGATGAAAAAGAACTGTACTTCCTGTTGGAACTGCCCCAACAGGTCAGACTCAAGTTGCCCCCTGACTATGGCAATGGGATATGACACAAAGTTTACATTTCTCTTCTATACTAGTCTCCAAACATTTTAACTGTTTCTCTAGTTACCATTGGGCATCTAGGCGGAATGGCCAGCCACAGTTTATGTCTTTCTTAAACTTTCTTAAACTTTTCATTTTCAATCCTTGGGAGTTTTATCCTCATCCCAAACTTGCAGTAGGCTAAGGTAAAAATGTTCTCTCTCTCATGCAAAGATCAGTGCAACTCCTCCAAGCCACTGTTTTCCATATTGTGAGTCACCCGTCAAGGAAGTTCAAATCTGTGGCTTCACAATGTCAACATGAGGTCCTCTTGGTTGTTGTAGCCGGAGAAGGGACACCTGGCAGGTTGCACACTGGCTTTTCTGTTTAGGCCAAGAAATGACACATCACTTCTGCCCAAAGCCCATTGGCTAGAACTGGTCACATAAGTCCTGCAGAGAGCTTTAAAAAATGTAGGGAAGCAAATGAAATGTTTCATGAGCAGCAGCCAGAGTCATTTTAACTGTTTTGCCCTCTATTTTAAATGGCTTTTCTTTTCATTTATCCTACATAGAGATCCACTAACTTTACAGTATATGCCTCATCCAGGCTCTTGTGAATAATCACCCTCATCTCGTGACTTTAAAGATTTTTATTCTATGCCCCCGAAATTGCAAACTTTTTACAATACACCCTTGGTAAATAGTCAAAAGTATGTTCATTTGAGTTTAGAATATCTTCTATAGACCATTCTTAATTTCATGGGGGTGAATGTTTCTTAGTATACAATGATATATGTCATAGATTCAGTATAATTATGATATTAAACAAGATGAAATAATATATTCTGTTTCTTTCTAATATCCTTTTTTATTTTTAAATGTATTTGTATTGATTTCAGAGAGGAAGGGAGCAGGAGAGAGAGATAGAAACATCAATGATGAGAGAGAGAATCATTGATCAGCTGCCTCCTACAACCTGGGCATGTGCCCTGACTAGAAATCGAACCCTGAACTCCTGGTTCATAAGTCGATGCTCAACCACTGAGCCATGCAAGCTGGGTCTAATATCCCTTTTGAAAAAGCTCAAAATTTTATTGAATGTTCTATCCGAAGCAAAGCCTCAAGCGTTGGTCTACAACATTATGACCTCATGTGCTTGACTCCGTTTATTTCATATGCCGAGTGCATAAATTGTCCCTGAAACACAGTACATAGTCATACTTTCTACTTACTCAGCTGGTCTTTTTTGTTTGACCTTCCAGAGAGCAGCCCTGGACTGCACAACAATAGGTTGGGGATCGTGTACGCTCATTGGAGTAGCCATTGGTGACAAAGGATTGACTATTTCTCCAGTAGAGATAATAATGGGCCGTACTATCAATGGAACATCATTTGGTGGTCAGTTATGCTTTTTCTGTTTATTTTCTCCATAATAGTACTAAAATTGAAATGAAAATAATTTAAGTACTGAGTATCTAAAATACATCTAAAAACTATAGGAAAGCTATTCTAATAATTACTTGAAAGTAAACAGTTTGTATAGTAGAAATACTACAACTTGCAAACAGAAGTTCAATTTGCATTAAAATAAACAACGGAGAGAAACAAAAATCAAACTTGGACTAAACACAGATAATTTCTTATGCAGAAATATAAATAATCTTAAATTTTTCCTATGAATAAAAAATTTAAGAGAGATAAAAATAAAGAAAAAATAAAATATGAGAGGGAATTTGATCTATTTGGAGGAAGCCAAATCTGACCAAATAATTTCATTCATTCAACAATGATTAATCTACTTGCTCATCATTCAACAATGATTCTTTATTTGGACTTTTGGCCAAATTACAGGTTTCAAGGGTAGAGATTCAATCCCAAAGCTGGTTACTGATTACAAGAATAAGAAATTCAACCTGGATGCACTGGTGACCCATACCCTGCCTTTTGACAGAATCAATGAGGCATTTGACCTAATGCACCAAGGAAAAAGGTAAATTACCAAACAGATGGGTAAGTGGTTTGAAAAACCTTTATGATGACTTTTTTTTTTGATGTTTAAATTTTTATTTGATGTTTAAATCTAATCAGTTTCTTTCCTGACATTTTTCACATCATCAGACATACTAGAGGTGCTTAAAAGATGAAATAGTGTCCATTTGGGGGGGGGGAACCCCAACATCACTTTCTTTCACAGACAATCATTAACTTAGTTGGGGCTGCTCCCTACGAGAGAGGTTTCTATCCTAGAACATCAAGTCCCTCTGGTACAACATAGCCCGGCTCTGGGATCACTATGTTTGACCGAGTGCACCCTGCAGGCCCTTCCTTATCAGAATCAGGTGAAAACCACAGAGATGTGAGCAGGGAGTGGCAGGTATCAGATACTTAAAGGATGGCCCAACTCTCTCATCCTCTTGATTTGTCAGAGGTCTCCTGTAAGAGACATCCGACCTATAATTTTAGCTGTAGTGTGCTCCCTTCCCATCAACCCTGAGAGCTGATTTATAGAACTGTCTCATCTGGGGGATCCCTAGCAATGGGGAGTACATAAGGCTGGGATCAGTGATTTTTGTTAAAATGATCAAGCATAGCCCTGATCAATAGCACCAAAGGAACAATGTTGCACAGAGGAGACGCAGGACAAAAGAGCAAAGAAAAGACAAGACATTACAAAATGGGGGGTGGGGGACCTAGAGTTAGTTGGCAGGGGTTTGATGCAGAGAAGCAATGTCACAAAAGAAGAAACTAGGTCCACGGTGTGAGGACACAGGATACTTCACAGGATAGAAACCTGAGAAAGTGTCCCTAGTGTCTGACATGAACTCCCTAATTTGAAACATGTTAGCTACAACATTCAATAAAAATAAAAGAGATAAACATGCCTTGGCTGGTTTGGCTCAGTGGATAGAGTGTCGGCCTGTGGACTGAAGGTCCAGGTTTGATTCCAGTCAAGGGCACATGCCCGGGTTGCGGGGTCAATCCCCAGCGTGGGGCCTGCAGGAGGCAACCAATCAATGGTTCTCACTCATCATTGATGTTTCTATCTTTCTCTCCCTCTCCCTTCCTCTCTGAAATAAATAAAAAATATATTTTTGAAAAAGAGATGCTATATTCCTTTCATGCTTGAAAAGAGAAGACCTGGAGAAGTTC